TACATATACATATATATGTAATATGGTAGGGGACTATTTGAAAATATTTTGCTTTTGCATTTAAGCTGTGAATAATTACTTCCATTACGTAAACTTCTACCATGAGATCGTTGTCGGGTTGGAGGAATCAGATCAGCAGAATGGTTAGTATGTGAGCAAATTTGAGGCAGTGGGCTGCTCTCCTCTCAAAGAGGGTATCCAGATTACAAAGAGCCCTAGCATGTTCATAGGTCTGGTAGTTTCTTCCCAAAATTATACGGAAAGCACGCTTCTGAGTACCCTCAAGTTTAGCATGGTTAGGAGAGCAAATGGGACAACTTTTCATATGCCTCGAAAAGGTATACCTTTCTCGGCTTGTTACGCGACTCTTTATGCATTTACCTCACTGAAACACTCAAATGCATGCTTTACTTTTACAATAATCAATCAAAGGTTCATATACATTATTTATACGTAAACGCCCACTCAAGAGCCTCATTTGGAATAAACGCCTCCCTCGAAAAAACGCCCCGAGGCGTTTATTTTTTTTCTTCGAATAAACGCACTCCCTCAAAATAGTATCGGTAATATTTAGCAATTAAGAAACTTAGTCTTAATATATAAAGGTCCACTGATTAATCTCAGATAAGTATAATGAATACTCCAAGTTTTGAAATGCACGCCATCGTGTTGGGATTCGACATTAATTATGTTATAATCAGGAATATAAAAAATTATCCATATTTACAAGCTGGCTAGTAAATAAGCTTTTGGTTGCTTAACAATGGGCTCAAAGCATCAAAGGAGATTTTTGTTTTTGTTTTTGTAGGTAAGCTTTGATCGTAGAGTAAGAATGCTTTGATCTTTAGTTTAAATCACAACTATGTCACCTGGAGGCAATGTTTTGATTGGTTAGACACTGTTGGTATTTGTTGCATCTTGTAAATATGGATATTTTTTCATTTCTGATGATGACATAATTAATGTCGAAATATTGAATCCCAACACCATGGCGTGCATTGTATTACTTGATATTTTTTTTACATGTATTACTTTCTAGTCTTAATATACACTTCACTAAAATAATTTGCGCGGATCTGGGAATGGACTTAGTTTTTATAATAATAATTCATAAGTAATTAGTAATCTTTAGCAATTCAGAAACTTTTATTATGACTTCACTAAATTCAACTACAGTTGAATTTATTAAAGTGAACCTACTTTTAATAATTAATGATCGGATAATTCATAAATATTAAATTTTAGCAATTCAGAAATATTAACAAAATTATTTAATGGATCTAGTTCAATAATTCATAACTTGTACTACTCTAATATTCTAATTTTCTTGCCTCCTTCGGTGTTTTCGGTTACTCTACCTCTAAACCTCGGAGATTTCAGCAAAACCGGTTTTCCTCGCATAGCCGATGCATGCTCGTGTCGGATTATCTGAGTGTCCTACTCCAGTAACCTGGTTGGGATCAATAAGTCCGTATGAACAAGTAATAATACATTTTGACGGTAATTATGAGTTGTAGTTCCACGCCATACAGCGCTTATTTGAATACGTATCAATTTAACACAAAAATGAATGAATGAATGAATGAATGAATGAACCCCTACATAGAATAAACGCCCCCTCAAAACCTTTTTCAACAATAAACACCTGTGAGTGTTTAATTTTATTAATCATGCACCATGATTACAACAAACGAAAGCCAATCACTGCTGGCTATTCCAGACACATGATCTACCGTAGGAACTACGGTATGTGTATTGTATTGTACGTCATCTCACTACAATTCACATGACAGTAGGCCTGTCATGTCAAATAGCTAGGTAGTGTCGATCTGAACTGAATCACTAACGATTTTTTCCTTTCGTTTTCGTCACAAATGAGCCGTACATTTACAATACTATACAATGTACTGTCATAATAGGTTTAGCCGATGTACAACGGCAAATTTGCATACTTTTATTGATTGCTAAATAAACAAACTCCCCTTAAATATGCACCCAAAACAATATATAACTGCGGAGCTCTTCCTAAAACGCTACAATATAACAAACAAGGAAGTATAACAATCTAGCTAGTAATCCAGTTAGTGTCTAGCAAGAATTTCACATTTGAAAAAAAGGGAAAAAATCAATTGTTACAATTACCATTCAACAAATATTATCGATAATGGAGCTTTGATATTTTCAAGAGTGAGTTGGTTATAGTAGGAGTCTAAAGTAAGTATTAGGCATACCGTATAAATTAAGCGCACCAATTTCTAGTTTTAATGGAGTGTCAGGGGAGGGGTTAATGTGTAGTCAATTGCTCTTTATGCATTTCTGGGATGTTTCGTAAATATCTACTATCCAGGATCCTAGGTACAGTGTTAGATAGGCCTATTTCGTAAATATCTGCTGTACCTGAATAAACTTATTCCATGCTGAAGTGGAATCGTGCCTATTCCTTGCCATCAGTTTACCAGGTAGAAATGCTGGCTATTTGTTATCACAAATTCACAAAACATTGGTGTATTAAAATTGAACGTCTATCAATGTAGGATAAGACCTGTTTTTCTGAGAGTGTCATTTTCCGGCCACATTCTCAAATTGTTAAGGCAGTCCTAAAGACAAAGGTGGGACTGAGGTGGTGTTAAAATTCCTGGTACTCTCCCTCTATTTTGTATCACAATTTCACAAAAACAGATTTGGTCTACTTAAAATTGAACGGTATTAAAATGTCAAAGCCCTTGAGTGCTATTTTCGGCCATTTAACTTTTCCACATCCCCATTTTTTCAGCTCCCTCACTCATCCTCAAACATAATGGCGCTGAGGAAGGTGTACCCTGGGCCTTCCTGTTTTTTTTTAAATTTTCATATTTGATATACATCTTGCTGTCACCCTTTGAAAACCGTTTCTGGAAGTGCCATTTCGGGATTTTTTTTATTTTATTTTCCCCGACCATGGTGGTGTTGACACTCCTTGCACTTAGGCCTCAATATTTTCCCCACATTTCCACAAAACATATTTTATCTACTTGTTGTATAAGACACTTTATAATAAATATATTTGTAACTTTGAAAATCCTATTTCTGCGAAACAGCAATACATTTTACTAAGATCTTTAAGTTTTAATAGTTTTAGAGAATGAAATAAGGGATCAGTACTAGTTCTTAGTGGGACGCCAGAGATTATTCGTAAGATTTTGTTTTGGAGTGTTTGAAGTTTATTTAGATTAGATGGAAATGTGTTACACCATACAATATTGCAGTATGGCAAGTATGGAAGAACAAGGGAACAATAG